CGATGGATGGTGAACTCGCCGGTGTTGCGCAGGGTTTCTCCGGGGACTGCTCGCGATGATGATGGCCTGTTGCGTGAATCACCGAAAAACGTAGGGAAAAAGGAGGCGGCGATCACACATGGGAACAGAGCAACAGGCTGCTTGCTGCTAGCGAGCGGAGGGTGATGATGGTCTACTGCTTGCCGGTAGGTCGCGCGATGATGGTGGCCGGCGTTTAATGATGGCGGTGGTGCTGCGCTTATCTGCTGCGAATAGCGAGAGTACGAGTGCAGATTGGTGGTGAAGGATTTCTCTGCACGAGATGGCGATCAGATTCTGATGAGATGATGATGATGGAGCGATGATGGGAGAACGAAAAACTTTAAAGAGCGCAGAACAAAGATTGGGAGGGTTTTTCAATGTCTGGGGGGAAGATTATAGATACAGGAATGTATATATACATGCAATGACTAGGTCATTATTTCCTCGGCTTCCAAGACAAGTCACACGCGCACAGATTCACACGAATTAGTTTTATGAGAAACCGGGTCCTAATTGGAGCGGGTCGGTTCGGTTGGGCCGGTTTAATCCCTCGCTGCTGGCGCATGTTCGGTTTCGGTCTCTCGGGTTCAATATATAATTGATCGGGCTCGGATCATCGCACGATAATTTAAAATAATAACTGGATCCATATATATATAGTACACATAATAATATTATTATCAATACACATTAATCACATAAAACAAATTTAGGCAAATAGACAATTAATGACCTTGAGGCAATTAATAATAAAAATAAATAATTATAATCCAAGCAATAATAAATCAAATAATAATAATAATAATAATAATAATAATAATAATAATAATAATAATAATAACAAATAATAGACCCAATTACTCCTTATTCAAACGGATTATAGACTGGTCACACGATTAAATCGAATCGCCTACGACGAACGTTTTAAAAATAAAAACGATCCAGTACCCCGATCGCGACTAATAAAATAAATATAACCTTTTAAATAATATTGGATAAATAGAATATTCCGAGAATTTCTACAAATCGAACGGGGCGTTACAATCTATCCTCCTTAAAACATTTCCGTCCTCGAAAATGCGAAGGAACACACAACTAAAGAAAAACGACATACTCGAAAAGCATACACTC